TCGATCGATTGAACTTCTTTTGAGATCGATCGAACAGAAACAAAATGTCCATTTTCAGCATGAAAGTGCAGAAAATAGAGATTGAAAAATGGGTAGAAGAATGTACACAAAAACGAAAAATAAAAATAAATAATAAAAAGAAATAGGAGAGGAATAGAGTTGAAAACTCTACGAATACTAGTGTTTAACATCTCTAACAAGATGCTGGGTCAACTCACTAATCAAAATAATCAAAAACCGGATATAAAACATCCTTATTGACTCTCTTTTCACTTTTCTCATTTAATGTCCCACTTATGACAATGAAATCATCCTCCAAAAGAATGACTTGAAAAGAAATAAAAGAGATGATATTATTCCTTTCATCCACGGTCTTGAAAAAAAATCAATCATGGTTAGCCTTGCCTCAATTTTGTGCTCTTGAAGTATATTCAAAAAATCACTTCCTTTGTGAATTGGCAAGTCAATGTCTTTCAAAGACTCATTTGGAATATCATGGAACACCTTCTCTTCATCCTTTTTCTCCTCCTCAAAAATCACCATCTCCTCACCTTCCAAATTAGTTAAGGAGTCCATTAGAGAGTTTATTTCATTTTTGGAGCTGTCAAAGTCAAAACCACAATTTTTATACATTTCAAAAAGACAAGCCTCAAGAGGGTCATTAGAGATGATAGAAGGAAAGCCCTCTTTAACAAGTTCCTCCTCCTCTTCTCCTACCTCTATAGTGGTTAACATCTCCTCACTCTCTAAAGTAGCAATGTCTGAGATAACATCATAATCAAAATAAGGAAAGTCCTTATTAATTATGTTATGTTCTATTGGATTAGCTACTAACTCACTTGCCACTTCCTCCTCTATACAAGATAGAGTCCTAGGCATTAGCTCACTTATTACTTCTTCCTCTTTAGTCTCATCATCCTCATCTATATACATTAAAGTTTTTGCCATTTTTTCATTTGCCTATTCCTCCTCCTCTTGACGAGAAAGAGTACTTGCAATTTGCTCAACTTGAGCTTCAAGCTTGGCTAACATTTGAGAATGAGAATTAATAAGTGAAGTGTGTGAAATATGCGCATCAAGTAAAGCTAATACTTTTTCTTCAAATCCGGGTGAGTACCTAGAAGGTGGTGGAGTTGGTTCATTATAAAATAGTGGGGGAGGGTAATAGTCATAAGAAGGATTAAATGAGTGATTAAGTCCATAATAAGATGATGCATGTTGAAATGAAGTGGACTCAACCTCATAAGGATCAAAATATGGTGGAGGGATATAAAGTGAACGGATATAATTCCGCCCCAAACTTGGATCAAACAATTCCTCCATTCACAATTAAAATCCAAATACAAGAAAATATTGGCCTTAACAAGGGCCTATGCTTGGACTTAAAATAAAGCAATGAAATAAGCCTCAATAAGGGCTATCACAAGCATGCAAAGAAGTACACAATTGAAATACAAGATTTCCAAGAATTGCTCACAACGGTCCTTAAGCAACTTCAAATTTTAATGTTAGCTTTAAGCTCTAATGATTGCTTCAAATTCCAAAGTTTGCCTTCCTTGTAGTCAAGTACCTAATTGAACAAATAATAATGAGAACAAGAGAAAATAATATATAATGAAAAATAAAATAAAAAATAGAAGCAATCAAATGAACACTATTGTCTGGTCTAATTCCAACAAAACCGTTAATCCCCGGCAACAGCGCCAAAATTATGATGCGACCCGAGCGTGTGCATAAAATAATGCACAACACTTTAAGTTTGGAAATTAGTGTCAAGTGGGCATCATACTTTAAATTTATAAACCGTTTAACACTTATACTATGTAGTATGAGTGAGAAGGGATCGTCCCAAGAGATTGTACGTGTTGGAATTTAACTTTTACTCTAGTGAATCACAAGATTGCAAAGGAGAGATTGATTGTTTGATAATACTAAAATTCAATTAATTAAAATGCAATTAAAATAAACTAGTGAGAGATAGGGATTTAAGAGATATGAAGAGAGGTCTTAGGGTGTTGGAATCACCACTAAGCTCATGTAATTAACCACTTGTTTTCCATTAATGGGGAATACATTGTTGTGAACAAAATGCGACTACCAATTACAATATTAAGCATGGACCATCAAATTCATATATGAATTCTCTACCTAACCAACAAATAAAATAAGTGTAGAACAACCCATCAAATCTAAACATGACCCATTAAACTAGTCACAATTGTAGCACACATCAATCTAGAGAATCATGGAATTTGCAATAATAAACCATGAAATATCAAATCAAGTATAGATTGTCTACCTACAAGCATGAATTAAATTGTAGTATAACCCATCAAGCATAAGAATAATCCATCAAATTAATTAACAAACCCATTCAATGAAAACCCATGCTTAGCCATCACTAAATCCTTAATTAATCACACATAAACATACAACCAACATAAAGAATCTAGTATAGAGACTAATTCCTAAATAATCACACATAAGACAACATGTAATCAAATAGAGAATCAATAGAAAGAATTAATCCATATGAATCATGTAAGAAATAATTCCTAATTTAATCACACATAAACATGTAAATAAACTAGAGAATTAATAGGAAGAATTAAACCACAGAAATCATAGAAATACACCAAGATTCATTATGTTTACAAGGCTAGAACACTAATCACAACAATATATATAAATCCCCAAAAAGAAATACAAGGGTTTAGATTACATAAGACTTAGGGCTCATCCAAACCCTAAGTGTAGATCTAGCCAATCATGGAGGAGGTGGATGTGGTCATGAAACCCTCAAGAGTAAGCTCCAAACATGGCTCCATCTTCTTCTTCCTCTTCTTCATCTTCTTTTTTGAAGCTCTAGAGAGAGAGAGTATGTGGATCTAGAGATGGGTTCTTGAGATGAGCCTCCACTTCCCTATTTTCTTCTAACCCTAATCTCTAACTTTTCTAGAGAGAGAAATAAAAATTACAAGGTAAAAATAAAAAGATAAAAAGCTTCTTTACAAAATGGGTCACTTCCCTTTATATAGAAGGTTCTTTTCTTAGCCATTAAGTCAGAAATATACTCCCAAAAATATCTAATCCCGTACTCTATGGTAGGTGGGAGTTCGGGCGCACGCGGGAATAAGACAACTCGCTGCCAGCACATTTTCGATCGATCTCAGAAAAGTTCGATCGATCAGAGAAAAGTTCGATCGATCAGAGTTCGATCGTTCTCACTTGGCAGCTTTTCAACATCAGCTTCTTTTTGCTCTAGATCAGTCTCCTTTTGCTCCAAATTCTCATCAAGACTTAGTTTGACTCCAAAAAGGCCTTAAGTAACCATTTTTAGCTCGTTTTAACATTATTGACCTGAAATAGACAAAAACACAAATAAGTACTAAAACGGGAAATTAAGATAGATAAAGGTCCTAGAACACTCAAGCGTAAAAGCGCACTTTTCATCGCTCATCAAAAAGCTATGCTTGGTTGTGATCTCTAAACCCCAAGATTTCTCTCTTATTTTCTCTCCATTACATTTAATTAATTCAACCACCAACCAATCTTTTGATCACTCGACCTACTAACGCTAATCTTGATTCCTCAACCTAGAACGACCCACCAATCCCTTGGGACGATCCCTACTTGCCCTAGCTATATTTTTAGTGAAAGGTAATAGTGGCAATTTCTAAATGTAAAACTTGGCCACATTCATCATAGTTCTACACCACTATCTTTTGGTGGTGCACAAACTATTGGGTTTGGGGAGTGATGACCCGGAACACACCAAGTTTTTGGCGCCGTTGCCGGGGATTGATTGAAGGCAACATTGTATTTGTGGAATCAATTAGGAATTAGTACTCTTTTGATCGTGTCTTTACTTTGTTTTCAATTTTTGTTACTTATTATGTTTGTTCTTGTTTGACTAGGTGCATTGAGTAAGAAGGTGAGCAAAGGAGTATTCCAAGTAAGGAGCTAAGCAATTAAGGAAAAAGGCTAAAATCATTATAAAAAAAAATTGCTAGGCTAAAAGCTAAAAAAATTTAGAGTTGAAATGCTAAAGGACCTTTGTGAGCTTTTTCTTACTCAATCTCTAGTTAAATCGTCGGCTCGCATGGAGGCTTGTATTTCAATTCTTAGATAAATCGTGAGCCCGCGTGGAGGTAATTTACTTTTCTTGTATATTGTTGATAGCATGGGAGTATGGGAACATTGTATGTGGAGGAAGTTTGTTGATTATTGATTTGTTATGAAGGTGAAGTATTTGTCATTATTGCTTGTTGTGTTGCATTGCGCATGAATGGTCATAGATCATTGAGACCCACTGTTGTCCCTTTAAATTTTCATCTTGAATCCATTGTTTGAAACCTTAGGGAAAGAGGAAGTTCTAGTCAATCCATTTCATCAATGGAAGGACATAATAAGGACCATGTGGAGGACCTTGGTCACATAGACCAACAAGGTATCATCCACCCAATGTGCATCATGATAACATGCAAGTACCATTAGGCATGCCGAGGCCATTCGTTCATCCACCACAACAACAAGGCCAAGTCCCATTGGGAATGCCAAGGCCAATCTATGCTCCACCACCTCCCATCATTCAAGGCAATCAAGGTGCCCATGTTGCACCTCCAATTGCTAATCCTCCCATTGCTTTAAGAGATCACTATGTGCCTAAAGAATACAATGCACCCACATGCATTCAATTACCACCATTTAGAGCACACCACTATGAGATCAAACCACAAACCATTCAAATGCTTCCTAACTATCATGGACTTCCAAGTGAAGAACCTTACAAGCAATTGGATGAGTTTCTTGAAGTATGTTCCACCGTTAGATACACGGACATGCTGGAAGAGGTCTTAAGGCTTAAACTTTTTCCATTCACTCTTAAAGATAAGGAAAAATATTGGTTTAACAATCTTAGACCTTTTTCAATAACTTCTTGGGTAGAAATGCAACAAGACTTCTTGAAGAAGTACTATCCAGTTTCTAAGACCAACGCTACGAGAACTTCAATTAGGGAATTTTCACACGAGGATGGGGAACATTTTATGAGGCATGTGAACGCTTTAATGAATTACTGAAGAAGTGTCCACATCATTTCATGCCTAAATGGCAATTAGTTCAATATTTCTTTGAGAGCTTATCGGACAATCACAAGGGCATGGTTGATGCTTCCATGGGTGGCTCTTATATTGATAGGCATGAGGATGACGTGTGGCGTCTTTATGAGAGCATGAGTGAGAATTCTTTGCATCGAACTTTATCTTCTAAGAATGGTAAGAATTCAAGTGGGAGGAAGAGTGTTGGCTTACATCAAGTCGACCATTCCAATGAAATAGCCGCTGAGATGAAATCCTTATCTCAAAGGTTTGATCAATTCTTGATCAACCAAAACTCAGCAAATCAAGTATCTTCCATCCCTAACCATTCACATCATGCATCCAATGAGACATGTATGACTTGTTCAAGTGTTTTACATTCTACTTCCAATTGTCCCCATGGACATGTACAAAGTGAGCATCATAAATAAGTCAATGCAACTTTTGTTAATCAAGGGAACAATCCTTATGGCAATCATTACAATCCTAGTTGGAGGAATCACCCGAATTTCTCTTGGAAAAACCAAGGAGAAGGCTTAAACCCTCCCCAAGGTGGTTTCCAAGGGAAATATGTTCCACCTCTAATGCAAAGCCAAGGTTCCCAAGGATATAGATCATATCAATCACAAGGAAACCAATTCTCAAATTCTCATTTTCCCAATCAATCATATACCCAAGGAAATGCTAAAAGTCCCGCTTTTGAGGAGAGTTTTAATTGCTTTGGGCACTTGAGGGGCTAACACTCAATTACTTCATTATCACTCTCAATCCAATGCTAAGCTAGAAACCCAAGTAGGGTAAATAGATAGTACTTTGAATGCTAGAGAGAAAGGGAAAATGCCTATGAATGTCCCCCCAAAGCAACAATGCGTTGTGGAGACTCATTCCTCATCGGAAGGTCACACAATAGAGCATGTCAATGCGGTGACTACCTTGAGAAGTGGGAAAATTGTGGACAACCAAGTGGGTATGTCCAATGAAGAGAGTGAACCAGTGTAACCACAAGTTGACACCCGTCCCGTTTCACATCCTATTCCTCCTTCATTGCATGTGCATGACCATATAAATGAGAATGTGTTGAAAAGTGATTTGAAAAGTGATTTTGACAAGAAAGATTTGCAACATGATTTCAAAACTTCTTGTGTTGAAGAGCTTCAAAGAAAATTTCTGAAAAGGTTTTTGAGCCAAGAGCTCCAATTTTGGATGCCTTAAAAGGATCCATTTCAAATGACAAGCAAAAGGTCAACACTAATGAAATTATGGATGTGTTTAAGCAAGTGAAAGTCAATCTTCCACTTTTAGATGCAATCAAGCAAATTCCGGCTTATGCCAAATTCTTGAAAGACTTATGCACCCAAAAGAGAAAGAACAAAACCAAGCACCTAGGAAAGTGGTCTTAACATTGCAAGTAAGCTCAATTTTGCAACATAACACTCTTCCAAAGTTTAAGGACCCCGGTTCACCTACCACTTCATGCATCATTGGTGATCATATCATTAACCGGGCTCTTCTTGACCTAGGAGCAAGTGTTAATCTTCTTCCATGCTATTATATGTCAAATTAGGCTTAGGAGACTTGAAACTGACGTCGGTAGTTTTGCAACTTGCCGACCGATCCATCAAAAAACCTAAGGGTATCATTGAGGACGTATTGATTAAGATTGATAAATTCTTCTTTCCCATTGATTTCGTTGTCATTGACACGGAACTGGTTCCAAATCCTAAGAGCCAATTCCTATTATCCTTAACCGTCCTTTCTTGGCAACCGCGAATGCCAACATTAATTGTAGGACGGGGATAATGAAGATTTCATTTGGACACATGAAGGTAAAGTTGAATATCTTCAATCCCACCCCCAATTCATTTAACAAGCATGAAGAAGTTAATGTTGTGAAAAAATGTCATAACCTCAAAAGTGAAGGAATAGAGTTTTTGTCTGAGACCAAAGTTTCAAAAGGTTCATTTTTTTTTTTTTTTTTTTTTTTTTTTAAATGAAGAAAAATTTTATAGATTAAAACAATAAAGTACAAAGCATGAAGTGAGGAAGAACCTCACTGAAACAAAAACAAGATAATAGAAACAAACTTCTATTCTCCTAGATCAAAGAAACACATCTTGGAGACACATACCAGCAACATCTAAGCCATCCCACACAATACTTTTAACAAGATTGGAGGGAGTTCTCGAAATATCTCTATAAAGCCTACCATTCCTCTCATTCCATAAGTAATACATGGTAGCTGAAAAAACCATCCTAGAAATCTTGTTCCTCACAGACTTCACTTTAAAAAAATGTACCAAGACATTTGCAAAGTCCCCGCAATTTGTTTGCTGAACCCTCCAATTGAACATACCATCTAATTCACTCCATACCTGCCAAGAATAAGTGCAATAAATAAAAACATGATCAACTGATTTGTTATTCTTTCCACATAAACAGCATCTAGAAGCAAGAGAAATTCCCCTTCGTTGTAAATTATCACCAGTGAGTGCTGCATTTTGTAAAACTAAGGCAGATAACACAGATTATCTCGGCCTACCACCATTCCAAACCAAGAGAAACCAAGAGACATCTGGATTAGGAGTTCTACAAGCCTTCCACGCAGCTTTATAAGTAAACTCCTTATTCTGCCACAAAATCTGATCACACCCTCCATAAATATTAAACTGATGAAAAAAATTTTGAACCTCCAAAGATAAATCAGTAAACTGCCACTGATTCTGAAAAATACAAGTGCATAAATCACTTTGCTTGTTAGTCGAAATACTTCTCAAAGTCCTGAAATTAAAAATTTCCGACAAGAAATGTCCATAACACCATGGATCCAAAAATAACTTCAGCTTCTGTCCATTACCTATACAAAATTTGTAATTGTTTTTCAGTATTTCCCTAACTGAAATAATGCTTTTACAAATGGGCGAGTGAGCCTCTCTAAGCACCACCAACCAGAAATTTGAATGCTTAATATAACAATGCTTATACCATACAACCCACAACCTATCCTTGGATAAAAGAAAATCCCAAGCCAAGACACATTTAGCTGCCTTATCAATATCAAAAGGTTCATCTTCAACCTTACATTCGAAGAAAATTGTTTCAAAGTCTTGTTTTGAAAGGGCGTGTAAGCCCAAAGATTGTTTTGATCAAGGACCGAAAACGTCTTTTAAGCCAACAAGTTCCTTAAAGAACCATTTGATGGGTGGAGTTCAAAACACTTATCACCCTATCAAGGAGGGGATGCACTACAAGATGTTTGATCTGGGCTAAAAGAGCCCAACGTCTTGCTAGAGATGTTAAAGACTAGCAAGACATTTCGTAGGGCGTCAAAACCCTATTCCTCCCTCATTTCTATCTTTAATTTCATTTCTTGCGAAGTCTAGATTTTAGATTTGGGTTCATATACATTGCTAGGAACTGTGATTAGGATTGCATACACTTTCATGTTGAATTTGAGCATTTTGCATAAGTTCGATCGATCTCAAAATGAGTTCGATCAATCAAACTTCTCACCAGCATCAAACCTACATCCAAATCACTCTTTGTCCAATGGTTCAAACAAAACCTGCATATTTCAGCTTTCTGTCCCATCGTTCGAACTTGTTCCTAGATCAATCCAACTTTATCTTGGATCGATATGCAGTTCCAACAAATAGAAATTTTTTGAACCTACATCCACCTGCATCCAAAAGCCTCTCTATCTCATGAATCGAACATTTCTTCAATTCTATACATTCTCAATTGATCAAAGGTATTCTAAGATCGATCTTAGGGAGATCGATCTTTGTTCTTTGTTTTTCAATTTTGATTTTGTTTTGATTTTATTTTAATTTCTTAATTTCAAAAATTCCAAAAAAATATTTTATTATTTAATTTTTGTTGTCATTTTTATTTTCCATAAAAAAAAATAATAATAATAAATAAATCCCAAAAATATTTTCATTTTCATTTATTTTTACTTTTTATTTTTTCAAAAATCCCAAAAATATTTTGTCACTTAAGAGGAGAGATCGATGTCAGTTCGATCGATTTGAGGATTCAGTTTAATCGATCGAACTCGCATGGGAATGTTTTTAAAAATCGATTCAGGGTCATTCGATCGATTCCATAAGAATCGATCTCAAAACCTCGTTCCCCCTTCGCCACTGCATCCCAACTCTTCTCCATCTCCGGCGATCACCCCAGGCATTGAACCTTTCTCTTCCATAGTAGATCTCATTCGCATCTCACCCCCCTTTGCATCTCCACTTCTCTCTTGATTCCGGTGAGATCCGAATCCTACTCATGTGATTTCAAGCTTCGATTTGATGAATACATGCTCTAAATGTTAGATCTAAGTTGTTATGATGATGAATATCTCCATTGATGAAGCTTTGAGCTCTGTGTATATATATGTATATATATGTATTTATGTTTTGTATAGATTTTGGATTTTATTTGATTTTTCAGAGTTATGGGCCGAATCTAGTGACTAGGATTGATGTTTGTTGTGTTGATGGGCCCACGACCATGTTTGTGAAGGCCCCGTGCCATCCGCATCACAGATCTGTGACTTTTCAAGTTTCACCTCACAGTTCAATCGATCTAACTTTTTACTCGATCGATCTATTACAGATCGATCTCACTTATTCTTGATCGATCAAACTTGAATCGATCTCACATTTTTGTGATCGATCGAACTTCACAGGTTTACTTCACATATTTCACACACCATCTCTTATGTTTTATGCTATCTCATACATGCCCAATGCCTGTGTTTTCCACATTGGATGCATTCCATACTTATACTGTCTAGCATGCTTCACATCATGTCACTCATTTCTTGTCACTTGCATAGATTCGTGTTCCTTGTCTGTTTTGTCTATCCTATTTGACATACATGATTCTATTAATTGTGCTTTAATTCTTAATGTTGGCACTAACTCCCATTTTGTAAGTTTTCCTTTTATTTTGCAGGCCATGGCTAGGGTTAAGACTGTAGCTCGCAGACACTATCACCGCAGGGGC